TATTTCTTTCTGTTTCTTTTTTTTGTACCTGCACATTGTGAAGTTTCCCGCCAGGTGCTGCCGTGGTAGAAACACGACACACTCACACAGCGTGTGGACAAAGCAGCAGATGTTCCTTTGTCCTGATCAGAGGAACAGAAAGATGATTGTCATTTCGTACCTCTCTCTAAGCAGATGTGGCGACTTTTCACCCTCTAATGTGATTAATTACGCTCAACGGGAGCACGGTTTCTCCATCTCTTCATTCTCAGACATGTTGACTCATTAAACCTGAACTGGGACTTGGTCTTCCGTATTAATGGGCAGAGAGCAGGATTCCAACATGATCTGATATAATAAGGGATCTACTGTAGTTTAATACTTTACCTGTATGTCTTCCTCATAACGGCCTTTGAATTACTAGAAACAAGCTGCCTCCCTCTTTCCCAGTGGAAAGTCCTGCCATCAGTGGTCACGTTTAGGACGTTATCAGACATCGGGTTGGTCCAACATAACCAAAGATCTTAAGAGTATGGTGTTAATAAGATCCATTAAAGTTTCCATTTAGGAATCCTGATTGGTGGATGTGATTATTGCCCACCGTGCTCTGGTTCTGACGGAGCTCCTGTTCATGTGTGCAGATCATGCTGGACATGAGGTGGACAGACCTGTACCATGCAGACCTGTACCATACAGACCTGTACCATACAGACCTGTACCATGCAGACCTGCACCATACAGACCTGTACCGTACAGACCTGCACCATACAGACCTGTACCATACAGACCCGTACCATACAGACCCGTACCACGCAGACCCGTACCGCGCAGACCCGCACCGCGCAGACCCGCACCACGCAGACCCGCACCACGCAGACCCGTACCACACAGACCCGTACCATGCAGACCTGTACCATACAGAGTGTAATACTCATACTGATGATCTTCAGTCATTTTCAGGCCACTTGAGAAGCTTCAGTTTGCATTTCTTGAAGTAGTTCATGGTACATTTGTAGGTCTGCTTTGGATCATGTCCAGTTGTAGAAGTTGGACTCTGTCTGACACTGACTGTGTGACGTCTCTGAATGAAACCCATCCACTGCTGCCTTTCTGTACAGATCAGACAGGAACCGTTTCCACCTACTGGGTAAATTATTGGAAGATCTCCTTTCATCACATGCTGCTCCTTCTTTGTGGTTTTGTTTGGTGATCGTGGCCCAGGAGCTCAGTTTGAACTGTTTCTCATCCAGATGTTGCTCTGCCAGGTTCAGATGGTGACTCTGGTGATGAAGTGGCAGGTTTCCCTCTGACTACACTGTTTGTGCATTAGTGCTGCACAGAAGAACAGGAAGTCACCAGTCCTGTCAGCTACCACCTCCTGGAGCCCCTTCATATTCATACTGAGGTTTTTCTCCTGCCTATCTAAAGTTTTCATTCTCCTCCAGGTCTTGTGTTGGTGTCCAGTGTTCCCCTTTACTGCCTTTCTACTGACATTTCAGACAGTAGAAACAGCAGGCTGTGTGTGTTAGTTAGCTTCATTTTCAGATCTTCAGTCAGCTGCTGAGAGGAGCCTTTGGTTGTTGAGTGTCACCTCCAGGTTTAGATGGTCACAGATCAGCTTTAGAGACAGCTGACATTCCTGATGACCATGTCTGACCTCTGTTACAGCGAGTGATGAGTCAGTCAAGTGTAAGCTAGTCCCAGTCTTCTACTTTCTGAGATCATAAAACGGGAGTACCTGAATACATCTGCAGACTTTGCAGCAACCTGTCCAACAACCATCCACGTCTGCAGCTTCACAGCTCGTCTGCCTCCATACTCTGCCCATTACAGCCGCACCAGAGCTACCAGTAGAAGTAGATTACTGGGTGTTTTTGGTCCAGCCTGGATACTCAGGACCTGACATGTGCTGTGTGAGACTTGTGTCGGCCTCGTTCTGGTCTCTGTGTTTAATAGTGAGTTCAGCTTGCTGTCAGTGACCTCTGGTAAACTCCCTCCTTGTCTTCATGGCTTTCACTCTACATTTCTGAACTTTAAAGATACTGTTTCATGGGATAAACTGCCACGGATACGCCTGTGTTTTTCACTAAATGTTCTGATGTTTTATAGACCAAACAACTAATTGATTAATTGGAAATATAATCGACAGATTAATCAACAATGAATTCAATTGTTAGATGTATCATGAACCAAGACTTCTGACTCGTTTAGGTTTGCCAGGAACAACCAAACACAGGGCTGGGCTTCACGACCGGCCTGACTGGTCTCTAGTGATGCTTTGACTTTTCATCGAGTGCCACCAGTGGAGCCAAATGAGTCACACAGTGTTTCACGACTTCGTACCTGGAAAACCGTTGACATTCATGGTTTAACTGGACAGCTTTGTGGCTAGTGCTACGTAGCAGAAACTAACATGCTGAAAAGGGACCACATACTTTTTCACTGTAGCATCGTACTGGCATCACCACCATGCTGTATGTTCTAATGTTTAGGAAAAGTTTGAATGCCTTCAGCTGTTTGTGTTTGAGGCACGTCTAAGATCCACCACGTCTTCAGAAGCAGCAACAAAAACACCAAATCTCTGTATTTCAGATTAAGGCAAAGTACTAAACCACTTCATCACTGCAAAATACATCCTGCAGAAACATCTGTGAACGTTGAATGTGTAAATAACAGACGGGTTTAAAGACCATAATACCTTTGATTTGATCATAACCTCACCACATATCATGGGGTCGAAATACGGATTAAGGGAATCAGGACTGAGCTCTTTATGACCATACAGTCAGTGATTTAATCCAATCTCTGGGATGAACACTGGAGAGAATCATTCACCATATGGCCGTGTGCTTAGACATCACGACGGAAAACAAAAGGCAATAAATCAACAGATAGGTGAGCACCGAGGAAACTGGTCTGTTTTGTCAACAACATAAATCAGCAGCTGTGTTCAATCATTTCAATATTCCAACATCGACAGTAGTAATAAGTTATAGTAGTAATGAGTTATCGGCATGTAGCGTCGCTGTTTGGCTGTTTAAATCGGTTGTTCATACAGCAGCTACTAAACATGTCTACGCTGGGTTTGCCACGTGGCTTCCAAGGATATCAGGTGTTTGTACGAAAAATACATGAAATGCAGGAAAACTGTGGTGATGAAGGAAAAGGCAGTGCACAGGGATTCTCCCAAA